GATGTCCCATAATTCCTTTAATAAATTGTTCCACTGTAAAATAAAAAACACCTGTAAACTTTTTTTTTTAATGTCAGAGCATGACATATTATATCATGTTAAACTCTGTGGAAATTTCCCCTTTCTTTCATAATGGTATATATATTTAAACAAAGAGAAAGTCTATATGGGGGAAAAATAATTGGGAAGATGGTAAGTAGAAACACTATGCTAAATAAAAAGTTCTTTGGGTTTCTTAAAGAGTTCTTTTAAGTTTCTCTTTGTCATAACCATCCATGGCTATTTTATCAGATTGTTATGCAGCTGTACATGTTAAAGTTTAAAAACTACCAATATAAAGGATCAGTGATACCTAAGCCTGTTACCATTTATTTATTCACTTAGCAAAAATTATCTACTTTTATACAAAGAATTGTATTTGGCATTCTTGTATTTGGTATATTTAAGCAATAAAAGTTCTTAATGACCTTTTCTGAATTGGGCCCCCCCATTTATAGTTATATAAACTAAGGAGATTTAAATGACTTTTTCCAATCAAAGATTATTTTCTCATCTAACTCAGATTATTAATTGATTTTCTTAAGTGTACTATTCAGTTTCCTTCCTACACTTGTACATTCTTGAGGCCTTCTATAAGTTGCCTCTTTCTATGTGAGAGGTGGCTGTATTTATTGGTGTGTGACACATTTATGACATTTAAAAGATTTGTGGCATACTTTTTGATCTTTGAGTGAAAATTGTTATATAACTATCACTTGTCATTATGGGAACATCCAGCTGTGAAACAAGGTTTTGAATATAATGAAGTACTCCTACTTAGAACAGAATCATGTATTTCTTTGTTGTGAATAAGAAGGTTTAGCGATTGTAGCTTGTATCCTATTAAGCATGTACTTGTTGGACGTTTTGTGTTAAATTAGTCTCTATGATTGGAAATTCTGTTCACTCTTCCACTCTGACAGGTCAGCATTGTGTTGTGTTGTAGTTGTCTCAACAAACCACAGGGTTTGTTCCATGCATTTAGTCAACAGCAATATGTTCATTGATCAATAGGAAATTATAACAGAGATTATAATTATAATTATCCAGATTTCTGTTTATTTTTATACTTTCCTTCCCATCTCAATCTTATTTACCTCCACACAGCATGATGGGTACATTTCTTACTGTACCAGGTCATAAGGTAGAGTATCCACACAGGGGAAATTCCTATTGTCCTCCTCCCATCAGAGATATTACAATTAATCCCACAAAGTACCTATTAAATGATGTTCTTTGGTAGTCCCTCCCTGCACACCACCATGTCATTTCTGTCACTTTAAGGCTGTGTGGTCCAATACAGTTAGCACTAACCATATGCGGCTAGTAGTTGCTGTATTGGACAGCACAAACATAGAAAGTTTTCATTTTCACAGACAATTCTTCTGAACACCTCTGCTCTAAGGGAACCTAAGGGAAGTATGTTGAGATAGAATACCCTTGTAGTCATCACTATTTCTTGGTATGGGAATCCTCTCCTGGGAACTATCTCCCCCAACCCTATCATCCATATAGGTCCCATGTGGACTGCTTTATTCTTCTATGATCCTGTCATTGTAGCCACAAAGGATTTTTTTTTTTTTTTTTGCACCTACCCAAGCTGGATCAATTTTAGTCCCTGGCCTCCTGGTTGGTCTGGGGCAGGATACTTTATTTAAATAATGCTTAATGACACCCCACCTTTTTTGGAATTTATGGACTTGGGTTCCAGAAAGTTGGCAGAATCTGTGAGCCAAAAGGTTGGAATTTTTCAGGTGTCATATTTTCCACCATAGGTATAAATGAAGCCAACATGCAGAGAGAGGTAGAGAAAAGAGGCAGATTCAGGTACGCAAGTCGAGACAATACTGAGGTCCAGCTTTATTTCTATACTTATATCTTTATAATTAACTTTCCATTTTCCTTAAGCTAGTTTAAGCTGAGTTGCTCTCATTGGCAAAGTTACCAGAGCAAATAACTAATATTATAACTGTTTCCATGACAGTATGATTCATGAAAGAAATACAATATTAATGGTTTTAATTAGATTTTTCATTAAATTCTTATATTCAGCTACATCTCAGATAATTGCAGCTGCTAACAAAACTTAAAGTTTAAAAATGTCTCTCTTGCTCAAAGACTCAAAATCCCTGAGTAACATAATTTAATGCCTACTGAAATTTCCAAAACATATTTTTATATAGGTAATTGTTAAGTCGTCTCCACTTCTATATATGCAACTATATATTGCTAGACAGTATTTTTCTTTCATTCTTTTAGTGACTTTGGTTTTTTCAATTGAATGGCTTAAGTTAAATTAAAAAGATTCCAACTTTAAAAATAATTTGTTTCTAAAGAGTGAATTGGGAACTTTTACAAATAGGAATACACTTTTCCATCAAGATATTATTGCTGTTAATAGTGGTAGGTGATTTTGGTTGGGACATGAATGCTACTTAACTAATGCGGGTGAACTTATTTTTCACTTTCCCTTTGAGTTGGCCTTTCCATAATTCACTCTCAGTACTTTCTTTCCTAATGTTTTAGCCACACCACTGGAATACATAAGCTCTGTTGCCCTCCTAAAAGTCGACTATCATTTTAAATAATATTTCTGTGAAATATTAAGCTGAACCTTAAAATACCAAGAACATATTTATATTTCTGAATCACAAGAAAGGGAATTACTCTGATTTCTTATATGTTTCTTTTCCCACCTAAACCCCTATCTCCACAACACATGGTGGGGAAATTGGGTAGTAGCTTGAACCACATGTTCGGAAACTATTTGGTAAATAATTTATTAATAAAGAAGAATGAAGAATTTAAAATGCAGTTCTTAAATATCCCCTAGTGCATAAAGATATATAAACTAAACATAGTCTAGAGGTATAAGGTCAAAATTAGAAAATACGTCAATAGGCAGGATGGATAATTAATAAAATGTAAAACATTTACATTAAAATTGACACCCCCAAAACTAAAAGTATCAAACCCATAGTATACTTTAGAAATAAGAGAATATATGTATAAGAAGATAAATCTCAATTCCAAGTGGCCACAAAGCAAACTTAGCAGCTATATGAAATGTTGGGAATTTAAGGTAAAGCCATGTGTTATTGTTTATGACTACTTTCATAGAAAACTTCCAATTAGAAATGTGGAGAGCACCGTTTTGTTTTGTTTTGTTTTTAAAGGTAATGTTGTCAGGAGGAGTTCTGTATTCTAATCTGAGGGAAAATGTCCTCAGTACTGAGTAGCTTTCATCTAAATTCCTGGATTTGACAAGTTTGAAACTCAGCTTCACTACACATACACAAGTTAATTTTCTGAGCAAACTGTGATGATTTTAATCTGGGTATGGAAGCTCATATAACTTCATCATATAAACAGTAACTTGTGTGTTGGTGATGAAGTAATAGCTAAGCTTTTCTAGCTTCATATATGAAATTCTTAAAGAGATTGAACAATTAGATTACTCAGAGCCAGCCAGAAACCATGAACTCAGAACTGTCAGTTTCAAGTTCAAAGTCATGCTTTGGACTTCAAGACTTTTTAAAAGACCGTTACCTGGAGAACACATCTTTGGCACTATACATATTTTACCTGTATCTCACAGAAATCTATGGTAAACACACACACACAGAGCTTTCCTGAAATATAGACATTTAAATATTTTCTGGGTCAAATTCATTTATTCCTTTGATAACAACTCTTGCTTGTAACCAGATTTTAGCACAGTGCCTGGTTCAATAGCTATTCACTGAACTAATGAAAATGATGGAGAATGAATGTCTATTGAACATAAGCTGTGACTGAGGGAGAGATTATATAAAAGCAATGGAAGACAGTTTCTGCTCTAGATTTACAGTCCAACCTCACTTACATAAGTGCAAAATCTTGTCTTCTTTGTGACATCCCCAATATAGCTAGGGGATCTAGCATGCACTAGGAGTTAGCATTTTATCTGCATGGTAGAATCACTAACTCCCGTTCCTCAGTGTTGGTGATTATCCGGATCCTCAGAGTTACCAAAGAAGTTGTGAGTTGGGTAAATGGTTGAGTGTTTCAGGTACCTCAGGCAAAAATCAAGGGGCCAGTTGTTGCTGTGTTCCAAGGTGGCCTGTGACTATTCATGACACCCACAGGTTCACAAATTTAAAATCTGTCAAAACATGTCTGGTCCCTACTTTTGTATAGCCTCAAATGTGTGTTCATAATGTGTAGATACAACTCACATTTCCAAGGGGAAAACTAAGCTCAGGGTGGTGACAAGTTTTGTCAGGAATTTGTGTGAATGTGTGCACACACATTTATGTGTTTACCATAGATATCTATGAGATGCAGGTAAAATATGTATAGTGCCAAAGATATGCCCCCCCTAGAGAGAGAAAGTGAGAGTGAGGGAGGGAGAGCGAGACAAAGAGAGAGAAACGGAAGCAGCTGTCCTTAGGATGCCTTTCTCCTGTTTGGTTTTTGCCAACTAGCTATCTCTTCACCACACAGAGAGATTTGAGGCGAATACTTGACTGACTCAGGCAAAGCAAAACAAAACCTAAACAGACCTTCAGATCGCCGAAATAAGGAGTCACTGGGTGGGAATCCCTGAACCCAGTCTTCAAGCGAGGAGACCTGTCCATGGTCCTGACCATATCTTTTCCCCTACTCGCCTCCTTCGTCGACTACGGATGCTGCCCGCACCCGAGGAGCGGACGCCTCCGCCTTGGTCCAGGGCCCCGGGAAGCCCCGGGCCGTGCAGGTCAGAGCCGCCCGCACATGCTCAGTGCGCCCTCTCTCAGGCGCCCGTACCCCGGCTCCCGGGACTGGGCACCTGTTTTGAATCCCGGCGCGAGGCTCTGTGGGGGTGGCGAGGTGGGGGCGGGGCGGCGTCACGTGCTGGCGACAGCGGCGGCGGCCGGGGAAGGTTCCATTTCTTCCGCGGCCAGCAGTCGGGCGCACCGGGGGCCCCTCCTCCGCCCCGCCCCAGCCCGCCCCGCCCGCGGCTCCCCTCCGGGCCGCGCAACCGGGCGTTTGCGGGGCCGGCCCCGCCCCTCTGGCTGGCGGACTCGGCGCGTCCTCCGCCCGCACGCCCGCTCGCCGCCCCCGCCATCCAGTTGGTGCGGTCCATGGCGAGCACATCATGGCGATTGAAGGTAAGTGAAGCCGGCCGCGGTGTGGGAGGAGGGGGAACGCCCAGAGAGCCAGGTTCCCAGGCGCCCCGGAGGCCGTAGCGCGGGTGGGGCACTCGCCTGCGGGCGGGGAGCGGGCCGAGGAGGCGCAGGGGTCCCGACCGCGTCCCGGGAGACGGGTGGGCGGAGCGGCGCCGCGGCTCCGCTGGCTCGCTCGCTCCCGCCCCGGCGGTACTGTCGGCCTCAGCCCTTGCCCCGGCGCGGGGAGGAGCCGGTCCGCCTGACAGGTGCCGTGCCTGGCGGCGCCGAGTGCAGCTCCGGTGCGGCCCTGCGGAGCCCGCGGGACGGGCCGGGGGACTTAGGGACTTCGGGGCGTTCCCTCTCCTCTGAGCTCCCTTCCCCGCACCTCTGCTCCCGCGGTACCCACCTTGCTACCAAACTGGGAGTCCAGTTTTGCTGTCCCAGTCGTAACCCTTCTTAGTCCCTTCTCTGGAGCTGACGCTAGGTTGCACTCTCCGTCCTTACCCTTCTGTTTGCTGTTGTAGGGGGCCAGGAAATCTGAGATGAGGTTAATTTCCTCAAGCGTCCCTCTCCCCCCCCCCCCCCCGCCCCAGGACTCAAAACTGCTTTTTTCCCCCCCTAAGAAAGAGAAGTAGATACATATGAAATAACAAACGCACACTTAGAATCCTGCATGTATTATCAGTCCACTAAGTGTTACAGTGTCAACAATACTCAGTATTTTCAAAAAAGTAGCTTAGTATTTACTGCCCAGCCAGAGAAGGTAGTTGGCATCAGAGTGTATTTTCCTCTTGTGACAAAAACATCTATCTGGGATGAAGTATCTATATTTTGCTTTGTTTTTAAGGAGGCTATTGTGAAAATTAACATCTCACGTCTAGGGTATTTATGTGAAAGACTGCAGTATCTTCCAGCCCCTGTGAGACTCTTAGCTTAACTCAGTGAAAGTAGTTTGTAATATTTACCTGTATGGGCGCACGTGTGTACAGATTCACATCATCTCGTACCTCTGGTATATCATCATTAGCTTAAATTTTATGTGTCTTCCTCCTTAGTAAAACTTTAAAGAGGACTTCCCCTCTTGATGACTGGCTAATCACCAGTAGCATGTATCTCTGGGGGTTCCTTTTTGTCAGATGGTGTGGTCTTCAAAATAACTTGAGCTGTGTGTTTATTTTTATTTTGTTACCTTAAGGGATTGATTACCTGTTATATGCAAGACACACATTCAGACACATTTCAGATAACTGCTTTAGCTAACCTGGTGGAAAGCACTTGGGAGCAAGATCTACTTATAATCTTTGATATTCCTGTTATCCATAGTGGTACTTTCAAACTCTCTTCCTTACTGTGCTTTTAACTAGAGGTTAAAAATACAGAAACCACATCCACTGATTAATGTTTTGTACTTTATTTCTACAACCGCTTTGTTGTAGTATTTCTTAATGATGTGGTAAAGCTAAAAAGTTTATGCAGAAAGTGAGGAAGAATTAGCCAGATAGCATCTGGATCTAACCCTGTAACTTTTAATTTCTTGAAATATTTTACATTTTTTTCTCTTTTTCTCAGTCCTCTCCTCCCTCCCTGCCCCGCGCAGTTAAATGGGATCATTTATGTCATTATGTCAGCCCATGGCCAGGCTGATGATATGTGATCATTTATTTATGTCAGCTGATGGCTTTTTGCTCTGCCTACTACTACTTACACGTTTAAAGAACAAGATTTTTGAAATTTTCTCATATTCTAGAGATTCTTCTGTGTTTCACATATTCACATCAATAATGCAAGCATTCGTTAAATTTTCATTAATAAAAAGAAGTTGAATTATATGTTTTCTAGTTTGGTAAAGAGACTAAAGTTAATATTAGCATTTCAGATAAAGATACTGGGTCAGGTTAATCTAACTGTGCTGTTTTTCACATATCAGAGCCCATTCTTTATACATACCATTCCCTGGCTGTGTTATGAAGTGAAATGAGCTCTGGATGAGGACTTAGTACTAGGAACATCTTAGAATTTTAGGGGCCCAAGGGGGCATCGCATTCAAACTTCTTCCCAGTGAAGTGGCTCATAAAGCATTCGGCCCCTTTCCCCTCTTAGTTCAGCAGCCTTATTAAGATCTAGCTGTATTTAGTGTTCTGTGCGATTCTGTGGGGCCATAAAGATGCCTAAGACCATACTTCTTCCCTCAAGGCGCACAAGGGGAGACCGATAATTTTAGCCATTCAATTATAATATAGTGTGAACAACAAAAGATGAATCATCTTTTGTATAAAAACATTCAATGGCATATGAATGCAGTGAAAATCTGCCATTCAGTAACTTCTATCTACTTATCCTGGGTCTGCCTTCTGGAGCAATAAATTAGAAGTCCACTCTTCCCTGTGTGTATGACATCCCTTCTACCATTTGAAGACGGTGCTTGAACATTTTCTGTTGTAGACAAAATATCCAATTCTTCCTCTGGATGGTGTGTAGTTGTATGTTTTAAAGTTTGAAATATGGTAGTGAGCCATTTCATTCCAAATGTATTGTCGAGTCACATAGCCTTTTTGGGACTGCATGTCGGCTCAAGATGAGGTGGAAATCAACCAAAACCATGGAATCTCTTCCAGCTGGACTACTTTAAAATCAGGTGTCTTCAATCCCTTGCATAGCAGATCAATCAGAACAAATCATTTGTATCTGTTAGGCTTGTTCTCATCGGCTGTAGCCCGACATTTTACCCCCTGAGTTTAGATTTTTAAGTAGTAAGGGTTACTTTTATTTCCTCCTCTATGTAAAACCCATATTTTACATAAAAGTAATCGTTCGTTTCCTCCTTTAATCAGACAGGTAACTGCTAATCCGGACTTCAGACAAATGTAAGATGGTCGTGTTATCACATTGATCTAATGTAATTCCAGTTAGAGCTGAAGAAGTTAGCCTATCTTAGGTTAAGTTACAATTTTGAGAAAGCATTTTGGAATATTGAGTAGTTTACAGAGCCTTATTGTTACCATAGAGGTCCAGTGATAACCAGGTTGGGAATCATTGCTCTACCCAAGCCTGTCAAGACCTATAGTTGACATCCAGTGTATTAACTCTTTTAATGTTGGCCTCCATCAATCAGACATTGTTAACCATTTCTTGTTTTGTTTTGTTTTGTTTTTGAAATTTTCTCTTCCTCTCTTGATTACCTACTTCTTAGTCTTCTTTTCATCTACATTGCCTAATGTTCTTTGTGTTTCCATTCTTAACCCTGTTCTCATCCTCTTTACATACTGCTGTTATTGCACACGTTGAGTAATTTTATAATCGCTTGTTTGTAATTTGTCTTCCCTGTCAATTCCTGGAGAGTAATGTTTTATTTTTTTACTCCTTATATTTTGTGCAGTATCTAAATATAGTATGTGCCCAAGAAATATTTTTTGAATTGTTATAATGGAATTCTCTACATTAGCTACATTGATTGCATCCATTCCCCAGGTATATTTGACCAAAAACCTGCCATTCAGTAACTTCTATCTATCTGCTCACCTCAGTTCTGCTTTCTGGAGCCAATAAATTAAAAATGCAGTATTTTTTTAAAAAGATGTATTATTTTAGAGAGAGGGAAAGAGTGTGCGCACACATGGGGGGTGGTGGTCAGAGGGAGAGAGAAGATCTCAAGTGGAATCCCTGCCAAGCACAGAGCCTGACTCAGGGGCTCAGTCTCACAGCCCTGAGACCATGGCCTGAGCCAAAATCCAGAGTCAGACACTCAACCGACTGAGCCACCCTAGACCCCCACATGTGCGCTATTAACACTTATAATGAGAACCAAGTGTTGTATGGAAGTGTTGAATCGCTGTAGTACATACCCCAAACTAATATTATACTGTATGTTAACAAACTGAAATTTAAATAAAAACTGGAAAAAAATAAAAGTGCACTACGAATAAAAGTACACAGAATTTTCGTAATTTTCAGACAGTAGCTAGATATCTTGCATGTTCCACAGAAATCCAAAGTATTTAGGTTGGGACATTCAGAGTGTCGCAAACTGAAGTTGTCACCCCAGCCACCAAATCCAGTTTCTGTACTCCCCACTCCATGCAGATTTAGTGAGTGGTATTTTTAAATAACCAGGTATCTGAGCTAGAAATCTGGAAATCAGCCCTGTCTTAAACGCACTCCCCCTTGTTGATCAGTAAGTCCTGCCAAGTCTGCATCTCAGTGATGCTTAGGGCTTCCATTTAAGTTTTTTCCCTCTCATTAATAGGCTTATATTAGTTTTCTAAGCTAATCTTGTTTTGTTAGCACTAGTTTGAGGGTTCCTTCCAACCCATTTTCTGAATTCTTGCTAGTTTTCTTTGTAAAATGCAGAACTAGCATTTAAATCCTCAGGATAGAGATCTTTAACGATCTGCTCCGTGCTCGTCCTTGATTTAGTCCGCGTCTTTCTGACCCTTCCGTAAGAACATCAGAACACTCTTTGCAAAACTTTCTTGCTGAAGTAAAAAGAATCCACCTTTATTGTTATTGTGCTGTATATTTGACTATTTAATCTCTCTGAGTAGTATTTTTTTAAAGTTGTAAAAGAAGACTATATTAGAAGGAATGTGTATGTAAATACGTGTGTTTACATATTTTTATTCATAAAGGCACTTTGTAGTTTACCACATACTTCCACATACGTATTTTTTTAATCATCAGTACAATTCTGAGGTGCTCTTGAAGACTTGGGACTCTAAGATTTCCAAGGCAGAATTTGGACTTTTGAAATATTGAATTAAAAACCCAGTACAAACCTATCCCATTCCTAGCGCTGAGGGAGAACATCACACTCCTTTCTTGCTTTCCCTGTTACTGCTGGAAAGAGATCATTGGGACGTAAGGGAGGATGATAGGATGAGAAAGGCCGGCCTGTCCACAGTCTGCGGCAGACAGACGATTTATTGAACACTTTTTTTTTTTTTTGAGGATTTACAGTTCAGTTCAACCCATAATATCCCTAAAAAGGATATTTTGACTTTCAGCAG